GCAGTCTGCAGGGAGCCCCCCTGTCCCAGCGAGCCCACGGCTGGCTGGCCTGACGGGGCCAGGCGGGGAGCGTAGGAAGCCTGGGCCACTTTTGGGGTGAGTTTTTGTTTTCTCAGTGAGGGGCTGGCGCAGCCTAGCAGAACCCCTCGGAGCTGGAGGCCTGGCTTCCAGGATCAAAGTAGATCTCACGGCCGGAACGACAGAAGTGTCCGAGCCCATCCAGACAGCCATGGCTCTCGCCACCCCATCCGCAACCTGCACTGTGCGCCTCCAACTGTCCCCTGGGTCGGAGAACTAGAATTCCAGGGCTGGTGTCCGAGCGGCTGTAGGACCAGAGGTTCGGTGTCCTGGTGCTCAGCTCTGAGCCACATGCCTGCCACGTGGGGACCAGCCACCTCACAGCTCCCCCTCCTCGAGAGGCAGGGTCTCCTGGGGCCGGACTCGGTGTGAGTCCTGTGTGCACAGCTCACTCGCTGTGTGACCCCGGGTGCAGTTAGCCGTCCGGCCTCAGCATCCGCAGTGGGACAGTGAGAGCCCCTCCCTCTGGTTCTGTGGAGAAGGTAACGGAACCGTGTGGAAACGGTTACTGTGGACATTCTCTGAAGAGATGGAAATGTAAATCATAAATTTGAGGATTTCAAGTTAGTAAGGCACTTGGAGGCCCAAGTAGCAGTCGTGGAGGAGCAAGGACCCCAGGCAGACCCTGGGCAAGCTGACCGGCGAGCTGGGCCCCCCTCCCAGAGAAAGCCCCGGCTCATGTCCTAACCCGAAGCTCTTCCTTCAGCGAGAGGAAGGCGGGAGATGGGAAGGCGAGAGAAGGAATTTCCCAGAAGAGCTTAAGCTGCCAGCCCTGCAGGGGGTCCCAGCAAGAATGTTAATTACAGAGCAGAGTGAATGGTGAGGGCTCAGGGGAGGAGCTGGGGATCCTGAAACCTAAGAACAGGTTACATAAAGGGACTTAGGGGATGAAAGATGAGGCTGGCCCCATATCACCCCCACCTCCCACGGGTTCTGAGTTTTCATGTTTATCTGGTAAATAAATGCTGATTGTCAGTTTTGTGTTTACTTAAGTAGGAAATAATACGGGCCCCACCAAAACAATGACGCCTTCGCTGGGTGACAGCCCCACCTCCAGGGTGATGCTCACAGGGAGAGGTCGCCCCAGAGCGCATGCACAGGGGAGGGCAGGGAGCTGTCGAGCCAGGCTGCAGTGTGTTGTGTGCGGGCCCTGGGACCAGGTGCCACTGTGGGGTTCAGGCCCTGGGACCAGGCGCCAGGGTGGCACGGACTGTGGGCAGGACCTTTCCCGGTTTCCTCAGGTCCTCCCTTTGGGAGGTGGGTGGACGTCCTCTCCTTCAGTCTGACGTCCAATGAAGGAGGTGGAAGCAGGCGCCCGCGGCCCCAGCGCCGCTCCTAATGGACTGACAGCCTGTGTCTCCCCTCTCCTCGCAGGCAAGGCCTTCGGCTGCGTGGGCGGGTACATCGCCAGCACCAGCGCCTTGATTGACAACGTGCGCTCCTACGCGGCCAGCTTCATCTTCACCACCTCCCTGCTGCCCATGCTGCTGGAGTCCGTGCACATCCTCAAGAGCGCCGAGGGGCGGGCGCTGCGCCGCCAGCACCAGCGCAACTTCAAGCTGCTGCGCAGATGCTCGTGGACTCCGGTCTGCCCGTGGTGCACTGCGTCCGGGTAATGGCGGCGGCCGGGCCAGGACGCGGGGCTCTCGCCTCCTGAGCTTGGCTGGGTGGCTGCCGGGACAGGCGGCGGTCCCTTCTCTGAGCACTGGCCCTGACCCTGGGAGCCAGAGCTCGCGAGCTTTGACATGCGGCTTCCTGTTCAGGGACACTGCTGGTGTCACAGGGAGTAGTGTAGTGAACACAGTGGCGTGCCCCGTGCTGCCTTCACCCCAGGTGTGCACATCTCTGTGGGCTAGCTGGCGGCACCCGTGGTAGACGCTGCCCCACCGGGTTCTCGCCTCCTGAGCTTGGGTGGGTGGCTGCCGGGACAGGCGGTGGTCCCTTCTCTGAGCACTGGCCCTGACCCCGGGAGCCAGAGCTCGCGAGCTTTGACATGCGGCTTCCTGTTCAGGGACACTGCTGGTGTCACAGGGAGTAGTGTAGTGAACACAGTGGCGTGCCCCGTGCTGCCTTCACCCCAGGTGTGCACATCTCTGTGGGCTAGCTGGCGGCACCCGTGGTAGACGCTGCCCCACCCACCTGGGAAGACCACTGAGGGCACCCCTCATGGTGCGGGTCTGTGTGGGGTCGGGCGGTGCACTGCCTCCCCGCTGGCAGTGCTGCTCGGACCTGTGCCCACGGTGCGGGCTCATTAGACGCTCCACTAAGAGGGAGTCCGTCTGCTCTGACCTCACCTCCTGTCATCAACGCAGGTGGCAGATGCTGCTAAAAACACCGAGGTCTGTGATGAGCTCATGAGCAGACACAACATCTACGTGCAAGCCATCAACTACCCCACCGTGCCCCGGGGGGAGGAGCTGCTGCGGATCGCACCCACCCCGCACCACACCCCCCAGATGATGGACTACTTCCTGGGTGAGTGCGGACAGCCCCCCGCAGAGCGCACCGAGTCACAGCGCGCTCAGGTAGCCCAAAACGGAACGACACTGGGTGTTTGAGTCCCTCAGAGGCTGCAGAGTCGTTTCGGAAGCTCTGAGGGAGCCTGCTGGTCCCCCAGGGGGTCCACTGCCCCCTTGGTGGTGGTGTCCCGGAGGGGAGAGGCCTCAAAGGTGGGGCATGTTCTGGCTCCTGAGTCCGGCTTCACGCTCTCCTCCCCGAGGGTGTGTGGTCCCAGAGCCAGCTGCACACCTGGCCACCCCACACCCACCCCCTCTGATAAGGGTGTGCAGCTTAAAATGTATGAATTGCTTATTTCTGGGATTTCCCGTGTAATATTCTCAGGCCACGGTTGACCACAGGTAACAAGCTGGAAAGTGAAACAGGGTCAGGGAGGGTACTGTGCGACATCACCGCTGTCTGATTCCAGAACGTTCACCACCCCAGAGAGAAACCCACGCCACTAGCGGCCATTCCCACCTTCTGTGACCCCGTCCGCTGCCTGTGTCTGGACTCCCTGTGCTGGAGTCACTGGGCCGTGGCATGGCTTCCTCAGTGTTTGCAGGGCCTTCCAGGCGCAGCGGAGTCGGCTCCATTCCTCCTTATTACTGAGCCGTCTCCCTTGGGCGATGGACACGTTAGCCTGTCAGTTGATGGGCATTTAGGTCCCACTCTCTGACTCCTAAGAAAAGAAGGCTGCTGTGGACGGCCGTGTCCAGGT